AGCAGAATGGGAAGCAAGTGGTTTCATCACCTGTCAAGAATCTGAGTCCTGCCGGCAGCTCGGGACTCTCTGTCGCTGACAAGGCTAGTTCATCAAAGCAACAAGATGACGACTTTCTTGACGAGGACTCGGATGATGAGCTGGATCTGGATTTCTCGTGTGACCTGCTTACAAGGATTTGCTACATGGGTATTCTGCTGGTGCCGTTTTTCCTGCAAGGAGAAATGGGTGTGGTCATCACGTCGGTGCGGACACTGCTGAAGAAATTTTGGGCTCCCACCCTGTCGAATGGTGCTGCGGATGGGGCCAAGGTGCAGACGCTTCAGCCGGCTTTCGTCGCGAAGACCAAGTACTGTCGTTTGCAGTTGTCTCTCCTGCAAGAGGAAGACATTGAGAAAGTCCGTCAGAAGACGGTGGAGTATCAGCGGTCTGGCAACAGCAAGAAATTTTAGCTTTTCTGGCAGTTCACTGAGGATGCAGAAAGTTTGAAGGAATAGTCGGCAAATCCGCATGCTATTGAGGTTGTTTTCAAAAACATTTCGGCTAACATCTCACCTGATCCTCTGACGGAATGTCCGGCGGTCATCAAGCTGAAGGTCAAGCTGTGACCTGTTTTCAAGGAGGGGAAGTGCTTCCACCGCGTCCTCCATCCTGTGACCGGAGCTGACACAGACATCATCAAGGGACTGGTTTACCCGTTCCCAAAGGATCAGAACCGGTGTCTGAAGCAGAACATCACGGACCCGATTGACAGGAGCAAGGTCCTCCTGGTCCACTATCCTTTGCTATGTTGCTCTCTCTGTGGTGGGCAACACTATGACAAATGTCATGATGTTTTCATCACGGAGTGGCAACGTAACATAGGGGAGTGGAACCTGAGAAGAAACGAGAATGAATGAATTATGAAAGAAGTGGGTACAAGTACTAACCCTGATTGGGTTGTACCCCCTATGGGATACCTCACTATAGCCTACACAAAAGCATAAGCTATAATGTTCTGACACACCCCCATAGGCAAAGTGGGGGAGAACAGAGGGTCACAAGACCAGTCAAACAAAGCAAAGCAAAGCAAGCTCAGGGTGGATCACAAAGTCACCACACATTCCGAGCACTAGTTCAAGGCCACAAGGCCAGTTCACATGCAGGAGTACATATATATATAAGGCTAGACAGGCAAGAGCAGATGCATATATATATATATATAACAGTACAAGCAAGGTCAAGAGGTGAGCAAGTGAGGCAAGACAGGCACAAGACCCAACTGAGTGCAGAAGCGCTGATGATCACAAGGCGGAAGTGCCTTGGTGAAGACATCAGCAGTGTTGGCCTCAGAGGCCACATACGCAAGCCGCAAGTGTCCAAGCTGCTGTAGCTCACAAGCAAGGAAGTAGCGGAGAGCAATGTGCTTTGTTCTGTGCTCCAGTCGCTGCTCTCGACACAAGGCAAGCATGGCCTTGTTGTCTACGTACAGAACTGGAGGAGAACGAGGCGGCTCTCCGAGGTCAGTCAGCAGGTAGGTGAGCCAGCGAAGCTCTTGTGCAGCCATGGCCCCAGAGGAGATCTCAGCCTCACAACTGGAGCCGAGAACCGAAGACGAGCGAGTAGCCCGCCACGAGACAGAGCCGGAACCAAGGCTGAAGGTGTAACCCTGTGACGACCGCTGCGTAGCCTGGTCATCAGCCCAAGAAGCGTCTGCATGCCCAGTGAGGACCACTGGACTCCGCCCTCCAAGCACTAGCCCCATGCCCGACGTACTGCACAAGTAGCGCAACACCCTCTTCACTGCAGCCATGTGCTCTGGTCGGTGTCTCCCAGGAGCAACATAGCGTGCAAGAATGCTAAGAGGGTATGCAAGGTCAGGTCGTGTGCAGGTCATCAGGTACATGAGGCAGCCAACAAGCTCTGGATATGGGCCACTCGACTCTACGGACTCATCCGAAGGCAGAGCTGAGAGCGAGTGGCGAATAGGCAGAGGAGTGGCCTGAGGCGAGGATTACGTGAAGCCGAAGCGCTGAAGGACCTGCTGCACCATGTGTGACTGAGTCAGGGTAATGGTGCGGCGTGCTCTGTCTCGGGTGCAAGCCAAGGTAGCTGCGCAGTTCACCCAGGTCTATGCACGTGTGTCTCTTCTGCAGCTCGGACTTCACGTAGGCGAGTCCAGCAGTGTCAGCTGTGGCAAAGACCAAGTCGTCGACGTACACGAGGATGTAGAACGGCGGCAGAGAGGTGTCGGTGCGCAGAAACAGCGACGGGTTGGCAGTAGAAGGAGCAAACCCAAGAGCCGCAAGCGTAGTCCTCAGTGTGTCGTGCCAATCACGTGGCGCCTGGCGGAGACCGTAGACTGGACGCCGGAGACTCCACTGGGTACCAGGAGGGAACGACCTAGTGAAGCCAGGAGGACGACGCAGCCAGATCTCCTCGTGGAGGCTGCCCTGCAAGAAAGCTGTGCTGAACTCAAGAGAGTGCAGCTCGTAGTCACGGTGAGCAGCAACGTGCAGCAGTACCCAAAGAGTGGTCATCTTCGGGGTGGGAGAGAAGGTCTTAAAGTAGTCAACTCCTTGCCGCTGACTGAAGCCACGAGCCACGTACCGTGCCTTGAAGATAGGCGGAGAACCCGGCGGCCGCTTCACCCTGAAGATCCACATGCCACTGACGATGTTCGCCCCAGGTGGGGAAACCTCGTCGACGTAGGTGCCTGTGGACTTCCAGGAAGCCATCTCTGTATCCATAGCTGCCTGCCACTGAGAAGAGTAGGGACCCTCTATCGCCTCTGCGTAAGAGCGCGGAGTCGGGATGTCAAGTGCATCCGGGTCTCCCTCAGGGGTAAGCAGTACGGACACGAGATGAGGTGATGCAGCTTCCAGACACTGGAACTCCTCCTGCCTGTCCTCAAGGACGTCCGTGCCAAGGGCACACTCACCCCTGACGGACGGAGGACACACAGACTCAGACTCAGCGACAAGACTAGCAGTGTAGTCTAGGCGACAGCGAGTAGCAAAGTAGACGAGCTCAGAAACTAGGGCAGACGCAGCAGTGGACTCAAAGGAAGGGTCAGTGACGACAGTAGCAAGGAGACGAGTGACAGTAGGACTGGCAGCACGAAGAGAGTCCGACTCCGGGTCGGCAAGAGCAGGAAGAAAGGACTCAGGAGGAGAAGGCAAAGGGGAGGCAGGCTGTAACTGTAACTGTGACGGGACAGGCTGTGGACACTCTAAGGGAGGAGGAACTCTAGTAGAAGGCGGAAGACAAAGAACCTGCTGCAGGAGTGGAACGAAGTACGGTCAAGGCCGCACGGCGACTCCAGACACACCAGGGACAGCACCAGTACCCCTAGTAGGAGCACCTCCAGCTCTGGTACCCGCAGCATCTCCAGTAGCTCGAGGACCTCCAGCAGCACCAGTAGCACCCCCAGCAGGATTGCCAGCGGTAGTCTCAGCGCCAACACCCTCAGCAGCACCAGCTCCAGTCGAGCCCGCAGGCCCAGCAGCTCCAGTACTCCCAGTACGAGCACCTCCGGGACCCGTAACACCAGCACCCTCAGTAGCCGAAGAACCTCCAGCTCTAGTAGCACGGCTCCAGCGCCGGGCAAACCACTCGCGCAGCTCCAGTGGAGAGAGTGGCTCCCGCCGAGACAAAGCACCCGGAGATCCTCCAGGCCCAGCACCACCAGACGCCACACAAAGAGGTCTAGCTCCCTCTAGCTCCACACCTCCAGGCGTAGCACTCCCAGGCACAGCTCCCCCAGGCTCACCACCCTCAGGCACAGCACCCCCAGGCTCAGCACCCCCAGGCTCTGCACCCCCAGGCTCAGCACCCCCAGAACCAGCACCCCCAGGCTCAGCACCCCCAGACTCAGCACCCTCAGGCTCAGCACCCCCAGGCTCAGCACCCCCAGGCGCAGCACCCCCAGGCTCAGTACCCCCAGGAGTAGCACCCACACGCTCAGCACCCCCAGGCTCAGCACCCTTTGCAGCACCAGTGTCACCAGTAACCTCGACAGGCTCGACTGCGTCTACCTGGGACACTCCTGAAGGGGCAGGACCATGACGGGGGACGGTGTCTACCGGGGGGGGACCTGGTACAAGGAAGAGCGGTGGCGGGGGGAGGGACGGAGTGCGGTAGGGGAAGAGGCGGTAGTAGGGGACCGACTCGTCAAACGTGACGTCCTGAGAGGCCAGAACACGTCGCGAGGTGGGGTGGTAAAACTGCCACCCGGGCGCGTTAGGGGGGGAAACCCAGGAAGACGCAAGGATCAGCACGAGGAGACAGCTTGTCCGCAGACAAGTCGCGGACAAACGCCCGAGATCCCCAGACACAGAACGCAGACGCATCGCCAACCTTCCCCGTCCACAGCAAAGCTGGGGAGGTCTCCGGCCTGGAGACCCTGGGGTGGAGGTTGATCTGATGCGCCGCGTACCTCACCGCAAACGGCCACGGAAAATGGGGGGCAGCCGCATGCATCATGGACGTACGACCGACGTCCATGACCATGCCAATGCGGCGCTCAGCAATCCCATTTTGCTGCGGAGATTCCGGAAGCGTGAAGGTCTGACGGATGCCTCGTGCACGACAGTAGGCTCTCAGAAGGCTAGAGGAGAACTCTCCGACTCTGTCAGAGTGCAGACGCAGAACAGGAATGTCCGAGCCGAAGCTCTGCCTGAGCTGGAGACGAGCTGCGCGGATCCAGTCGATCAACACCTCGGTGACATCACCCTTGCTGCGCAAGGGGAAGACTGCGGTGTAACGCGAGTAGTCGTTAACCACCAGCAGGAAGTAGCGCTCGTGACCCTTTCCACGGATGCGGGCTGGGCCCCACACGTCCATGTGAAGCGTCTGCAGCGGGGCCTCTGTCGGAGGGAATTGGGAGGAGTGAGGGAGGGACCGGAGAAACAAGGAAGCGGGAGGCCATGCCTCTGAGACGAAGCAGAGAGGGGTGACCAAGGCGGTGGTGCCAGAGGAGAGTCTCGTGAGAAAGGAGACGACACGAACAAGGGGCAGACTCAGGACCAGACCTGGACGCTGCAGCAAACACCTGACCCGACACAGCTACCCGACCAGACGCAGTGACTGGAGGAGACGCAGTGATCAGTGTGTACAGGCTCGACCCCGGCTGACGTGTAAACGTAGCCAAGTGTCGGCCTGTCCGAGCCTCAGTGCAGTGTGTCACCCGCTGACTCGCAAGAGTGAACTGGTGCACTCCCCCATCCTGTAGGTCAGCAGCACTCACCAAGTTTGTCGAGAACGAGGGGAGGTAAAGACCAGACAGGGTGCCAGAGGGAGCCGCCGGACACGGGAGGACTGTGGAGAAGTGGGTTAGGATAGGACCCCCAGAGGGGTCAGCCAGAGACACCGCAACTGGCCGACCAAGCGGCGTAAGTGTGGTGCGGTCTCGAAAGAAGGAGCGAGAAGCCCCAGAATCAAGGGTGAAGGTGAGGGAGGCCGAAGCGGACGCAGTACCTGAGAGCGCAGACTCACCAATACCTGAGGACGCAGATGCACTAGCACCTAGAGCAGCAACCTCGCAAGCACCTAGGGCAGCAGCCTCACCAGTACCTAGAGCAGCAGTCTCAATGCACGGATTGGGCGGGAAACACCGGTAACAGTCACCCTCATCACCAATAGTCACAGCATACATGGCAGAAAGAAGAGCATCAAAGTCAAGGTCAAACATAGCAACCCCCGCCCAAGACAACTCGCCCCATCGAGGGATCTCTGTGGCTCCAGGAAACTGGTGACGCCACGCGTCCGTGAGGCGGCCAAAGCACCGCTGGGTGGGGTGCGCACCCCCACACTGCTCACCCGCACGGTCGCCGGTGCGCACGACGTAGGTGCACGGACCAGAACCCCCACCCCGCTGGCGTGCAGTGTACCACTCACGGAGCTGCTGAGGGGACAGGGTCTCACGACCACGCTGCTGCTGCTGGCGCGGACCACCACCGGAGCCACTCCTCTGCGCAGATCCGCGACCTGCTCCACCGCCACCTCCGCCGCCTCCGCCACCGCCGCCGCCTCCGCCACCACCGCCGCCTCCGCTCCCTCCGCCACCACCGCCTCCGCCTCCACCTCCACCGCTGCCACCGGCACCCCCACCCCCGCCACCACTCCCAGCACCACCCCCACTCCCTCCGCCGCCTCCACCGCCGCCTCCACCGCCCCCGCCAGCTCCTCCAGCGCCCTTGCCCCCCTTGCCCTTGCTTGTGCGGCGCTTCCCCGAAGGGGCAGACGCAGCGCCGACCGACTCAAAACCAACAAGGTCGGCCGCAGCAGCAGAAGCAACAGAGGGCAAGAGGGGGGAGGGAGAACACCCCTCAAAGACAGGGGTGCGGGGGTCACCACGAGAGGCTCCTACAACGACTATGCTCTTCTTCGCTGCTAGGAGGGCCTTCTCGAGGAGGTCAACGGTGAGAGTGGTGGGGCACACTGCGAGGAAGTGGTCCCTGACTACGCAAAGGGAGTCAGGGATCCAGGTGACTATGTAGTAGAGGGTTATATACATGGGGGGGTGGGGTTCTTGGCGCAGAACTCAGCAGGAAGCGCAGCGTGGTAGCGAGTGTCACTAGTGCGGAGGTGCGTAATGAGGTCAGCGACTGTGGGAAAGGTAGCAAGGTCAGGGAAGAGGTACGGTAGCATGAGACGGCTCAGTGCAGCAGTGGCAGGAGAGGAGTAGCGTGCAACTACAGCGCCGTACAAGGTCTGAGCACTCTTGTACTGACTAAAGTGCGCACGCTCAGGCGTAGGGAGGTGGCGACGCACAGCAGCATCGCGCATGGCCCACTGTGAGCGAACAGTGGCGTCAGCATCAGCAGCAGGAGCAGGAGAGGCACCAGAGGTGAGGTCAATTGGGAGAGACCGTCTGCCCTATCGCACTGTAGGAAAAGCTGCAGGTCATCTACCCAGACGTCAAAGTCAATGGCCCGACCCTCAGCGTCAAAAGCTAGGACACTAGGGGTAGCCATGACAGCAGTAGACTAGCAGCGCGAACAGTAGGGCAAGGGGAGTGCAGTGACAGAGGCGCCGCACTTACCGGACAGGGCTGCTCGGGCGGCTCGGAAGTGCGGGCGACTCGGCTGTAGGGCGGCTCGGCGGCTCGACTGCTGGGCAGCTTTGCTGCTTGGCGGCTAGGCTGCTGGTCGGCTTGGCGGCTCGGCGGCTCGGCTGCTGGGCGGCTCGGCGGCTCGGCTGCTGGGCGGCTCAGCGGCTCTGCGACTCGGCTGCTGGGCGGCTCGGCGGCTCGGCTGCTCGACTGCTGGGCGGCTCGGCTGCTCGACGGCTCGGCTGCTGGGCGGCTCGGTGGCTCGGCGGCTCGGCTGCTCGGCGGCTCGGCGGATCGGCTGCGGCGGCTCCTGCCTCCGTGACGACGGCTCAAGGGGCCAGGTGGAGCGGCGGCTCGAGGGTAGGTGGGGCGGCCGCGGGGTTGGAGGAGTAGGCGCCGGGGCCGGGTAGGGTGGCGCACGGTGGGCCGACAGGCGGCTCGCGGGGCCGCAAGGGCGGCGGGCTGAGCCGATGGGCGGCGACGGCGGGCCGTAAGGGTGGCGTGAGGGGCCGCGGAGGTCGGCGGCGTGCCTTAAGGGCGGCACGCGAAGCTGCGAAGAGCGGCGACGGGCCGTAGAGGACGGGGCCGAGCCGTTAGGGCGGCGCGAAGGGCCGGGAAGGGCGGCGACGGGCTGCGAAGGGCGGCGACGAGCCGGGAAGGGCGGCGACGGGCCGCGTAAGGGCGGCGACGGGCCGCGACGGGCAGCGACGGGCCGTGTAAGGGCGGCGACGGGCCGCGTAGGGCGGCGACGGGCCGGGAAGGGCGGCGACATGCCGCGTAAGGGCGGCGACGGGCTGCGTAGGGCGGCGACGGGCCACGAAGGGCGGCGACGGGCCGAGTAAGGGCGGCGCCGGGCCGCGAAGGGCGGCGACGGGCCGAGTAAGGGCGGCGCTAGGGAGGCCGCTAGGGGCGACGCGGCGGGCTTTAAAGCCCAAGACCTGAATTACTCAACGGAAGTCAACGCTAAAAACTAGGTTCGGGAGGCAGGCACGGAGAGGTTCGGTTGGGTTGCGAGAGACTTTCACTCGCGAAACCAATTTGCGACAAAAGTTTCTCGCTTCCCATGATGGGTGGGGTCCTTCCCACAACCAGAAAAGCACGTGCATACCAAACTGTGCACAGTTTGAGATAGCACGCAGAGTATTAGGCATAGACCATACCTGTAGACAGGGCAGGGCGTCGGCGTTCACTCAAAAGGGATCAGATGCGCCTTACGATGTGGGTGGCGCGGATTTTGATGATGACGCGCAAAGCTAGTGCTCGCTGGGTGCAGATTTTTGTGTCGAAATGCATTTTATTGTGCAACTACTGCGTAGCGTAAACTCGCGGCGAAAATCGAATCGCACCCGTTCGCCCAAGCGTGACCCTCCCCTCGCCCTCGCTTTCATTTCCCTAGGTCCCACGCTTCCGCTCTCTGTCGCCCGCGTCGTCGCCATCGCTTCCGCAGCTCGTCGCGTTCGCGAACCCTACCCGCCACCTTCGCTCCGCCCGTCGCCTTCACTTCCCCCCCGTCGCCTTCACTCCCCCCCCCCCCCCCTTCCCCACCCTTCCGTCGCCTTCACTTCCCCCTCTCGTCGCCTTCACTTCCCCCTCCCGTCGCCTTCACTTCCCCTTCCCGTCGCCTTCACTCCCCTTCCCCTTCCCCCTCTGCTCACTCCCCTTGTTTTAACCCCACTCTCCCCATTTCTCACCCATTTTCCCCCTTTACGACCTCTTACCCCCTTTGCTCGCCCCTGTTTTCTTGGCTCACTCCTATACTCACTCTCTCCCCCCCTGCTCACTCTCTTCCCCCCCTGCTCACTCTCTTTCCCCCTTCTCACTCTCTTTCCCCCTTGACGCTCTCTTTCCCTCCCTTCCGCCCGTCGCCCCCCTTCGTCTCATCGCCCTCCCTGCTGCTCGTCGCCTTCACTCCCGCTCGTTCCCTCGCAATCCCCGTCTCTCTCTCCCCCCGTTGCCCTCCCTCCCACTCCTCGTTGCCCTCGCCATCCCTCCCTTCTCCCTTCCCATCTCGCACACTTGTCACGCCCCCTTTCCAACCCGCACATACACCCTTCCCTTCTTCCCTGTTTCCCTGTATCCCCTGCGCTGCTTTCCCCCATCCTCCGACTGGCTCCCCCCATCTCCTTCCCTGCTTCCCCCCATCCCCTTCCCTCCTTCGGCCCGTGCCCTCCCCTGCCTCCCCCCATCCCCTTCCCTGCTTCCCCCCAACCCCTTCCCTGCTTCCCCCCTTCCCCTTCCCTGCTTCCCCCCCGTCCCCTTCCCTCCTTCCCCGCGTCCCCTCCCCTGCCTCCCCCCATCCCTTTCCCTGCTTCCCCCACCCCCTTCCTTGCTCCCCCCCATCCCCTTCCCTGCTTCCCCCCGTCCCCTTCCCTCCTTCCCCCGTCCCCCTCCCAGCATCCCCCCATCCCCTTCCCTGCTCCCCCCCATCCCCTTCCCTGCTTCCCCCCAACCCCTTCCCTGCTTCCCCCCTTCCCCTTCCCTGCTCCCCCCCATCCCCTTCCCTGCTTCTCCCCAACCCCTTCCCTGCTTCCCCCCTTCCCCTTCCCTCCTTCCCCACGTCCCCTCCCCTGCCTCCCCCCATCCCCTTCCCTGCTTCCCCCCGTCCCCTTCCCTCCTTCCCCCGTCCCCCTCCCAGCATCCCCCCATCCCCTTCCCTGCTCCCCCCCATCCCCTTCCCTGCTTCCCCCCATCCCCTTTCCTTCTTCCCCCCATCTCCTTCCCTGCTCCCCCCCATCGCCTTCCCTGCTCATTCTTGCTCCCTCTGTTTCACCCTTGCTCCCTCCCCTTCTTCTCTTCTCACTCTCTTCCCCCTTCCTCACTCTCTTTACTTCTGCTCACTCTGTTCCCCCCTGCTTCCTCTCTTCCCCTTTGTTCAATCTGTCCCCCGCTGCTTCTTCTCTTCCCCTCTGCTCATTCCGTTTACTGTCTTCCCCCCTTCACTCACCCCCATACCCCCCAATGCAGTTACAGGTGCCCATGACCAGATGTGGCTTAACATGGCCTGGTTTATTGCTTGCAGTACAGCAGACAAAACCGGGAAGCAACATAACATACACCCCCAAGCTTTGTTCCCTTCTCGAGTCTCGTGATTCCCCTTATTTTACAGATATTGTAATATATTAATTGTTGAACTCCCTGGTATTGGTCATATGTATGACTGCTCTGAGGCTCATAATCTTGTATTATTACAAATTATCCAATACATGGCAAGGCTATACGTCGTGTTACTACGGTATCATACAGCCAGCACATCACAAACCCAGAAGTCAGATGTGACGTGGCTGAAGTATAAGGGAAGCAGGCATGCATAAGAATGACAACTGGCAAATAAGGAAAGGAGGAACGGAGGGAGGAAGTGAGGAATGCAGGAATGAAGGAAGTGATGATGGGAGGAAGGGAGGTAGGGAGGATGCTTGGGGGAGAAGCAGAAGGGAGAGGAGGAAGAGAGGCTGGGGAGGAGGGTGGGAAGGAGGGTGAAACTTGGCAGACGAATGATGGGATCGGGAAAGGAGGGACGAGGAAACGAGGAAAAGAGGAAACGAGGAATGGGGTGGTGCAGAAAGGGGTGGGGCGGAATGGGGTGGGGCAGAAAGGGGTGGGGCGGAATGGGGTGGGGCGGAATGGGATGGGGCGGAAAGGGGTGGGGCGGAATGGGGTGGGGCGGAAAGGGGTGGGGCGGAATGGGATGGGGCGGAATGGGGTGGGGCGCAAAGGGGTGGGGCGGAATGGGATGGGGCGGAAAGGGGTGGGGCGGAATGGGGTGGGGCGGAAAGGGGTGGGGCGCAAAGGGGTGGGGCGGAATGGGGTGGGGCGGAAAGGGGTGGGGCGGAATGGGGTGGGGCAGAAAGGGGTGGGGCGGAACGGGGTGGGGCGGAATGGGGTGGGGCGGAATGGGGTGGGGCGGAACGGGGTGGGGCGGAATGGGGTGAGGCGGATTGGGGAGATGAGGGATGGGGAGATGAGGGATGAGGAGATGAGGGATGGGGAGGTGTGGGATGGGGAGGAGAGGGCTGTGGAGGAGAGGGATGGGGAGGTCAGGGATGGGGAGATGAGGGATGGGGAGATGAGGGAAGGGGAGATGGGGAATGGGGAGATGAGGGATGGGGAGATGAGGAATGGGGAGATGAGGGAAGGGGAGATGAGGGAAGGGGAAATGAACGTGTATGCAACGGAAGGGTGCTGCTGGCCACTGGCGGTGGGCGACAGTGGCAGTGGGGGGAAGCGTGGGCGATGGTGGCGGTGGGGGGAAGCGTGGGCAATGGTGGCGGTGGGGGGAAGCGTGGGCAACGGTGGCGGTGGGGGGAAGCGTGGGCGACGGTGGCGGTGGGGGGAAGCGTGGGCGACGGTGGCGGTGGGGGGAAGCGTGGGCGACGGTGGCGGTGGGGGGAAGCGTGGGCGACGGTGGGGGGAAGCATGGGCGACGGTGGGGGAAAGCGTGGGCGACGTTGGGGGAAAGCGTGGGCGACGGTGGGGGAAAGCGTGAGCGACGATGGGGGGAAGCGTGAGCGACGGTGGGGGGAAGCGTGAGCGACGGTGGGGGGAAGCGTGAGTGACGGTGGGAGGAACCGTAGGCGATGAGCGGGGAAGCGTGAGGGAAGGTGGGGGAAGGAAGGGGTGAGAGACGATGTGGGGAAGCGTTGGTGAAGGCAGGAGGAAGCGTGAGCGGCGGTAAGGGGAAGCGTGAGCGGTGGTGGGGAAGAGCTCGGGCGACGGTGAGGAAGAGATCGGGTGACGGTGAGGAAGAGCTCGGGCGACGGTGAGGAAGAGCTCGGGCGACAGTGAGGAAGAGCTCGGGCGACGGTGAGGGGAAGCGTGGGTGTGCGTGGGGGAGTGTGTGAGAGACGGTGGGGGGAAGCGTGTGGAACGCGGAAGGCGATAGGGCCTAAATGCGATGTCCGCGGGGTTGCGATGCCAGGGCGAGCGAGATCGAAAACGTGATACGCCACTAACTTAGTTGCTGTCATGCCGATAAGCCACGACCATCAATCTGTTCGGGGTTTCTATTTGGCCGCAGGATAGATACGCCTGGATTTCTAAGGGTCCCGTAATATTCGTGAAAGCAATCGTAGCCTATGCTATGCTAGATTTTTTTTTCCGGACTCTTGGAACAATCTACGAGTAGTAGGAAAAGCACGACCGGAATTACCAATGTAGGCAAACTGTGCACACTTAGAGCGGTTGTTCCTTGAGAAAGGTGTTGGGACTCTCGCCAACCAAACCTGTTCTGCTGCACGACTCAGTGTTTTTTTGTGTGCGATCTTCTCTGGTAACCAGCCTGGCTCGGGAAGTCAACTGTGGGTTCGGTAGGCAAACTGTGCACATTTTGCCATCTTTTTTTTGTAATTCAGGTCTTGGGCTTTAACACAGTTACTAGAAATCTCTTAGGAACCACACAGTAGTTGCCTCCACACCCATAGCTAGGGCCGGAGGTGTAGCCATAGTCTTAGACAATCCACACTTACAGCTTCAGAACACAGTGACTCACCCTTCAGGTAGACTGATCAAGTCGGAGGTAGTAGGTAGAGGTCTCAAGATAGTGCTGTTAGCGACATATTTCCCGGCGTCGCCTGCAGCGCGTCAAGTTTTCATCAGGGATGTGGTTGGTCCGGTGGTGGATCTGTTGAACCCACGCGACCATCTTCTCGTCGTCGACGACCTGAATATGGTTGATGACCCTTTCTTGGAGACGACATCTGGCGCAGGCTCAGCGGCAGGGAATGACAGACTTTGCAGGAGATGCGGGGTTTTCAATCTCTCAGACGCTTTTCAGGCACTGCATCCTAACAAAAGAGGATACACTTTCTTCTCGCATGCGCATCAATCCAGTACGCGGCCATGGCTAATCTCCGCATCACACGTCTCACCTGATGACCCGATATCCAACCATGGTTTTGCGATAAGGGTTGCTTTCCGCTGTAATCCGAGGGCGAAGCTGGGGCCGGGCATCTGCAGACTCCCCGCCTCTTTGCTCGGTCGTCCGGGGGTTCGCAGGGTGGTGGAAGGAGCAGTCAGTCAAGCGGGCGACGATTTTGAGTTGCTTCTGGCCCGCCTCAATGCTGGTTTAAGGGCTTACGCGAGAGAGGAGGGAAATAGAGTGAAGGCCACGATGCTGCACCTCACACGGTCGGTGGCGCAACTGAAGCAAGCAATGATGGGGAATCCCGGCTGCGCAAGGATCAGAAAACAACTGCTGATTCGTGAGTCGCAACTGAAGGAATACCAGGCATCGAGGCGGGACAAGCAGCATTTACAATCCGGGTACCAAGAAGAGCTCAAGGGGAGGTCTCGTCGAAAAGGAAATCGGCGAAAATCAAGGAGAGGAAATGGAGAACGCAGATCGATGAGCTCGTGGTGAATGGCGCGGTGGTGAACGAACCTGCGGAGATCTTGACTTTCCCGTTTTCGGTCTTCTCCTCTTCGGCCCGGCATTAAGCTCTGGTGCAATGCTAGTCACGCTCCCCGTACCCCCTCGTTGCCTGCTCCCTCCCCGTCATTCCCCCTCCAATTTTTGACTGGCCCTCCCCTCCAGATCGGCTCTTGGCGCTGGCGCCACGTCTGCAGCCCCCTCATCGCCCAAATCCTACACTTACCCTTTCAGCTCCCCCTTCCTCGATTTCACCCCCCCCTTCCCCTACAGCCAGGTTTGGGGTGGTGCTGCCAAACCAATGGTGCCGCCCACTCCCCCACCCCGCCCCCACCCTCCCTGCTTTCCCTACCTTCTTCTTCACCCTGTCACCCTCTCTGGCCTTTTGCTTCACATTCGCGCCTTAAACCCCCCACCCCCACCCCCTCCCTTATGCTACCCCCCCCCCCCCCCCCCCCCCCCAATTGCTGCCCAACGCTCCTCTCATATCAGGCACATGGCTCCCATTTCGCATGACCATAGCGCCCTGCTCCTGTCTCTGGTCCCAACCCCCCCTTGCTCTCTTAACCCGGGTTTTGCCCTCCCTACCTCTCTTTCTGTCATATTTCCCCTCCAGGCCATGATGCAGATTCATGCCCAACTTCACCCTTCCCTCCAGCCTCACTCCCCACCCCTTCCTTCCCTGCCCTCCTACCTTCGACTCCTGCCCTGCCTTCTGAGCCATGTTTTTCTGCTCCCACGCTGCATGTGCAACTCTCTCCTTCCTCCCACCCTACCTTTCCTCCCCTCCACCTTGCACCCTACGCTACGCCCTCCCTTGCCTCCAGGCCAGGCCCTCGGCACCTGTGCCGCACTTACTGCGTTTCGCAACGACCCTGGACTGCTTTTTATCGGCCTCGACTCATACGTCGAGCCGTGGACCTGTGCTCTGTGCGACCTGACCTGCGGGGCCACGCTGGATTCTGCTCTTGCACACATCTCCTCCGAGCAGCACTCAGCCAAGAAACGCATGGCAGCCCGCGCCTCTGCTGCAAAAGATACATACACTGGTTGGAAGGCTATGACCTTCGTTGCTGAAAAGCCGATTCGCAACTTTCTTGCCTAGTTCAGGAACGATTATTGAGAAATCTTTTTGTGGCTGTAACATTGTGTGTTTGCTACCACCTTGCCATACTTATAAAGAGGATAAGAGTCTTTTCAACTTGTTACATGATTCACCTATGCAACTTTTGCGATTTAAATATGTTTACCCAACTTTCACTCTACGTATCAGCCCGTGGATTCGCTCACCTTTGTGCGCGATGGGCTCTGCACTTTGTATCATGATAGCACGTCTTAGGATAGTATGCATCAATATTAATGGTCTAAACTCCCTTTTTAGAATGAATGCCCACTTCTTCGGAAGAAATATTGACATCGTTATTCTCGTTGACACCCGCCTTACCAACAATGTCAAAAATCTAGACCTCCGCTTTCGCCCCCACGCTTCTGCTCACACCGTAGCCCGCCTGGGTAACTCCCGCTCGTCTAGCTCACGTCCCTCCCCCGGAGGTATCTCTATCCTTGTATTCAATAAGTCAATCTCTCTTACTTCCTATACAACATCAGCGATTGGACGTCTCCTATCCGTCGACGTCAATTCTCATCACGAACAAATACGGCTCATCGCATTATACGCCCCGCCTCGAGCCACTAATAGACGCCCATGGTGGCGCTCATGCCTTGCCCCGATGCTGGAAGCTCCTTCAGCTGCACCTGCAACTCCGCTTATGGCAGACTTTAACTCGGTCATTCTCCCTGCTGACCGCAACCGCCCCATGCATGGTCATGAACGAAGTGAAGCCGTCGCCATAACGGCATTGTTATCTGAACATTCGCTCGTTGACATCTTCCGGGCTCTCCACCCCAACGGCGTCGTTTTCTCGTACTTCGGCCGTCCTCGTACTATCTCCCGTCCCCCCCCCTCCTATAGCACCCCGTCCTACTTATCCCCCTCCTGTGGGCCCTCCGCTTGTGGTTCCTGCACCCACACCTCCCCGACCCGCCTTACCCCCACCTGCAAGCCCGCTACTTGCAGTGTCACTGCGTGCCTCCTGCTTGGACCGTATGCACATTTCCACTTCACTCCACAACCGACTTGCAGCCTCCCCCTACCTCCTTACCCCCCTCGTCTTATCTGATCACTCATATGCCCCACTTTGCTCCCTAGCGTTCGAGCTCCCGTCGAAAGCTCCCCGCCCGTGGAGGCTTAGCCCGTCCCTCCTGTCCTGTCCTTTCATCACTAAAGTTCTGGATGATCTCATCCCCATGCTGCCCCCCTTTCCGTCTCTCGAAGAATGGGACGAATGGAAACACGCCCTCACGATGCGCTTAAAAAGATTCTCCAACCAAGAAAGGCGCCATGTACACAAAACTTTAGAGCACCTTCACCATCTCATCAACCAACTCCAACTACAATCTACAGTCTCCCCCTTGGACTCAGAGTCAGCCGCTCGGCTCTGCAAAGCCCAGCAACAACTCGCGAAATACACCGCGGCTAAAGCCTCTCAACTCGCACTCAAAGCTAAGCTCAAGGTCGAGAGCCATCGCAAAATGGGGATATCCTCTCTTCGTGCAGGACTTAACACTCGCGTTAAATCTTCCCTCATCTCCTCCATCACGCTTCCTGATGGGCGAACTAATAACGATCTCCCTTCCATGACCACTGCCTGCTCCAACTTTTTCCAATCCCTCTACAGTGGCAACCCGTCTACGCTCCCCAACCCCAACTTCTGGCAACACATTCCTCGCTCATCTCCCCCGTCTGCCGTCACCGCTGTACTTGCAGCCCCTTTCTCCTTGCTTGAAATAGGGAAAGCCATCAGCCAGCTCTCGCGTGGAAAGACCCCCGGCCCGGATGGGCTTCCTGGTGAGTTATTCCGCCTATACAAACCTCGTCTTGCCCCGGCATTTTTGTCCCTACTGGCCCCGCATGCCTTTCCCCCTTCTTTGCCCCCTTCAATTCTCTCCGGACGTACAGTGCTCATCCCTAAAAAGGGTGATGTATCCTTAATAGATAATCTCTGCCCCATCACCCTCATGAACGCGGACTACGAGGAACTGGCCATCTGCTTGGCTAA